GCAGCATATTCAGAGTGAACTGAAAGCTATTGCAAAATCAACATATTATTACAAAAAACAAGGTTAGCATTTGGCCTAATTGTGCATAATGCAGTGTATTTTCAGCTGCCTGACAGCATGCAGGCACTCATACCAGATGGGAACTGGATGAATTATTGAATGAAATATGAATTATTAAATAAAAATTTGAATTTTTTTAAACTCTTGGCAGAGGGTGAGGAAGAAAGGCTTATTTGTTTGCCTGAAACTGCCCTCACCTGTTGAAGCATGTAAAGATAGCATATACCACCATAAATGGCATTTACCTACCAAAGCCATTTCTTCCCTTGTTATTCTCCAATTCACAATGCTCCCTTAATATAAAAAATTCAGTAATCAGCACCAACCCATTCTTCCATGCTTTTCTTTTGTGCTAATGCCAGTTAATAGGGAAACTTGCCAAAGGGATAGAATTAAAAATCCAGAGTCCCATAGTATCTGTATGGCCCATTTAATGGGAAGGCTGGGATAATAGGAATAATCTCTATAGATTTGTGTTATACAGGCAGTAAAACATATACCTTTGTAGCATGCCAGCATTTAACCAATCACAGAAACTATTTGTTGCCTCATATATTACAAGGCAATAGAGATTTAAGGGATAATGTTCACGGAGGCAGAGGATACGAAGCAATAAACAGCATTGGAGGTTGGTTAAATGCCAAGTGAAGCCAGGACTACAGCATCATAAACATTATTCCTACTATATGACAAGATAAGGAGGTACAAGAAACTGCCCTCAATCCCACCACAACTAGGGCTCTACTGCTATTCTTGGCCTTAGAAAGGAAAAACAGGAGTTCCATGAGCAAATTACATTTCATGTCTCAGAAAGGTATGAACAGAACCCCAACTTGTACCTAAATGTCCTCTGGGAGAAGAAAAGCTCTAATAGTAGATATCCTCAGAGGGGAAAAAAAAGAGTAACAGCCCCTAAGGTCACACTGGACAGAGAAACAATCAAAAGATTTTTCCTTAAAAGGACAGCATTGATACAGAGTAGTTATTACAGAAACCTTTCTCAACGACTAATAACAGGATGATACTATACGTTAAGTAGTATCTCTTCATAGGAAATGTGTTCCTGTTTTTAAGGAAATAGACATTTTAAGTAATAAGCTTATATGACCAGCTTCTGCTCAGTGACTTGATTACGATAACCAGAAAGACTACTTAAATATGAATAATTTGTACTGTAATACAGTATCTATCTATGCTTGAGAGGAGGTATAGAAATATGGAATTGGTTGACTATTGAAAATAAAAACTGGACAAAAAGCATCCAAAAGGTATGTTATCTAACTGCATCCTCATGAAATAATATATCTAATTAAAGATTACTGACCAATACATAGTAATTTTTCCTACTTTATAATCCACCTTCAAGTAAAAGTGCCTCCTAAAGCATTAAAAAAATCACAAGATTTGCTGGATTCAGCCACCAACTATATTTCTATTATTTAACACTCACATACAGGCAAAGCCATTTTATAGTCACAATGTTTTTAAAATAAAAGGTTGGCAAAAGTAGGTTTATAGTTGTGATATGCAAAACACAGAGGTTATTCTTGTATTATAATTTATTATTGTATTATTTTCCATACAAACAACTATAAATCTACTTTTGCCCCACCCTGTATATGCTATCTTTTAACCATCACATCAAAAACCCATACAACTCAAATTTAACCAGCCCTTTGTCACAGGGAATCTGGGGCACGATTGCCTTAACAACACTAACCCATTCTCTGGAGGCAGCTCTGTTAACTACCTCTGCTGCCACGTTCCACAGAGAGGTATTAGTAGGAATATTGCTTTCCCTGAATTCCTCTTCATGAAGGTGATGAGGCTCAAGAGAAAGAGAGTCTCAACAGAGAAAAGCCATATCACCTGTCTTTTCAGATAAGAATGCAGAGAACACAACCTTTAGCAGCCATCTCTAAAAAAAAAAGTACAGGCAGCATATTTAGAACTCAGCTGTGTCACATCAGACTTACTGTTGGGAAGTGGATCATGAACAGAATCCAAAAATAACAGCCATTAAAGACCTAGCAACCAAAACATGTTTATGTATCCATTGAAAGCCTGGTGGTTTTGATTATATGGTGGAGAGTATAATCCACTAGTCTATTTTAGGTGAATTTTCCTTTCACCTTCCTAACTTAATATTAAAGTGTAAGATGTTTTCTGAGTTTGGGGGTACCTGGGGTAAAGCCTGGGCAGGCAACAGATATTAAAATAATGCAAAATTCCTATAGTTTTTGTTTGTTGGTTGGTTTTTAAGGATCAGTCTCTTGAATTATAATTTGCTTTCATTCTTTGTTCCTCTAAGCGGTTCTCAACCTGTGGGTCGCGACCCCTTTGGGGGTGGAACGACCCTTTCACAGGGGTCGCCTAAGACCATCCTGCATATCAGATATTTACATTATGATTCATAACAGTAGCAACATTACAGTTATGAAGTAGCAACAAAAATAATTTTATGGTTGGGTCACAACATGAGGAACTGTATTTAAAGGGCCAGAAGGTTGAGAACCACCAGTTAGAGTCTAACTGGTAAAAGCCACTGGTTTTTGAGACTTCTATAGCATTAAGTTCTAAACCATCCCTAACAAAAATTATCATGGTCCTTATTATCCTTCCTGGGACTTAGCCTTTTTATTATTTTACTATTTCTGGAATAAAGAATTTGAATCAATGACAAAGGTCTATAAATAGCTTAAAGGCCTCCAGGTGTCTCCAGAATGAAACCATTTTCAAGGTATATAAGGAAGTTGGGATGACAGGTCAAGGGTAGTTCACTGTACCAAATTTATCTTCTCTGCTAGATTTTCACTATTTCATATAACAGTAAATCTTGCAGGGATCCCACTCTAGAGTTACTGGTATTTGTTACCAGATATTGGGAAAAACTTGGAAGAAGACTAAAATATAAGTAAAGATCTACAATTTCACCTGACCATAAAGTTTTAGCATGCAAGAAGGTAAAAAAAAAATCTGGCTACCTTCAAAGCCTTAAGTTGCAGCTTTCTATCCTTTTTCTATGAAACAAGTAACTTCCAAAAGAAGGCAGCAGTCTCCCGAAGTTCTGCACCCACTGAGGGGAAAAAGTCTTCAAGACCTACGCCAGAGTTTATCATTAATCCTAACAACCAAAATACCAACGAACAATTCAGAAATGGGAAGGAGAAGTAGGGGAAGAAAAAGGCTTATGGTAAACAACTCCACAATATAAGAAACCAAAGTGAAAAGTACCTACTGATTTCCTACCTCTAGTCCAAAATGAAAACAACAACAAAAACACAACCCCCCACACACACACACACAAAAAAAAAACCCTTCTCCCGGCTCTCAAATTTCAGTGAAAACTACTCTTTTCTGATGAGACAGCTTGAAGAAACATTATTTAGATCTCTCATCCTCAGAGAGTTTAAGAGATGCTTTTCCCATGTATTCCTTTATTTTTATCATCCATTTTTATTTCTTTAAGTCCTTGTCTGGGTGGTTTTGGCACACTACATATAAGAGAGATTATAGGCGTAGAGTGGCTTAAATAATAAGTGAAGAAAAATAAATGTAATTATGAGAAAAATATATATTTTCACCAAAAATGCAGGTTTTTAAAGTAAAGAAGAAAAGTGAAAAAGGTACCAGGTATCAATTATGGGAATCACATTAAATACTTTTATCAATAAATTCACACAAAATTTTGGAGGAATCAGGTTCAGATATGTACTCCAATACAGATGTCTGAAAAGTGAAACAAATTTACTCTACATTCCCAAGTGGCTTCTATTGTAAAAAAAAAAAAAAAAGTATAAACCACATGGAGAAAACATGCAGTCACCAATAAAGCTGAAAACTTTGACAAGGAAGGAAATACACCCTACAATGCTGAATACTTCAGAATACAATGCGTTTTCAGTCTTTTCTGAAAATTTCAGCATTTACTGGAATTTGAAATCATCCTCTGCCTATTCCTTGTGACCATCCCCATCTCATCCACCTCTCAAATTCCAATTCTTAGGAATTTCTGGAACTTAACTCTCTCTTCTTTTTGTCTAAGTATTTACAATGTTTAATAGAACTAGTCTGCAATCTCACACACCACCAGTAAGTGTCACTGGACAGTCACATGACATATTTCTAACTGAACAGAAATTCAACCCTTCAGGATCCATAAAATCAATTCATGAAGACAGAGAAAACTTTCTTTGTATTCCTTTATTCATCCTTTGTGGAACACAGAAATAGGGGAAGGTAGAGGATGAAGAACCAAGAAAGTACAAAATGGGGGGAAAAGGCAGTTTCAAAAAATTACTTTATTAAAAAAGTATATGATGAAAAATAACTGACACATGATATACACATCCACAAACAATAGCATGGCAGCAGGGAAAATGGCTGAGAAGTCTTGCAGCTTATATATTGCTATGAGATCTCAGGTTCTATGTTGGATTTGTCTTTCTTAGATATCTGCCATAGCAGCTAACAATGATTTTCTGAATCAACAGTCAAAAGAAACTTTTTTTCATATTTAAAAAATCCAAATAGACTCTGGCAAATTGGGGTTAACAATGAATGGGTGCGTTCTCAGCTGCCTATCCAAATATATTAAGCTGACTTTCATATCCATGAACGTTGAGGAGAAGGTATTTCAAAACTTGGCTTTGTATTTAGATAGATAGGTTTAGAAAGGAGAGAGAGCAACGTGTATTCCTCAACACCGTGTTGGAAAACAAACACCAGTAGAATAACAATATGAAAGAGAGAAAGGCAGATTTCATTACAGTAGAGTGCTTACACTTCCTCATAACTTGGATTTACACACTGCAAATCCTCTGATCTGATTACCTCCAGTGATCACGTAAAATACCGGCTTTAAACTCTTTGCCTTAGTGATAAAACAGCCACTTTGATTCACAACGAGACATTCACAATAAAGTATATTGTAAACGTACCTGTCCACAGCCCGGGGCATTGCACACAAACGGTCTGTCGTCTCCCATATTTCATGTAGCAGAGCGGAGCTGAGGAGGAGGAGGTAGGGGGAAAAGTTATGTTAAATATGCTGGAGTTTTTAAAAAAAGTGCTTCAAAAATATCAACCCTAGAAACAGGTGTTCCAAGAATGCCATCTATCAAAGCTGTAAACACAGGCTACTTTGGGGAGACACATTAGACAGGTGGCATATGATCTACTTACTGTGCCTCAATTGAAACTTTTAATTAGAAAAATTTAGACCTAAATAGTCAAGGAATTTAAAACCTTTTGCTGTATTTTCCCTCTTTCTGCTATAGTATATAATACACTTCTCCAGTATGCTGAATTACAACCAGTGCAGTTCCCTATGTCAATAAATCCACTGAACGCTCGATGCGGAAGCCATATTTCTGAACTAGAGAAGACCAAAATTTGTCATTTAATTAATTAAGGGATTATAGGAGGGGTGCTCCATTTTACAGGGCTATAATCTGGCTCCCTGGTGGATAAACTAGGAGACGGTTGGCAAGGGCCGTTTATCCCAGATTATTGCCAAAGAAAACAAAGCACCCATCCTATTGGGCTACACGGGAAATAATTTTCATTAATAAAAAATAAAAATAAAAACCTTCTTCCCCACTGGGAGCCTCCTTCTCCCCCCACCAATAGTCTGTGGCAAATGGAGAAATATCGGTGCCCTTCCCCCTCTGATTCTATTTATGGCTAGGTTTTTAAAAGCAGCAATAAAACAAATGTCGACTCTTTGGGGGTTTACTGGGTGAATATGTTCCGGCTGTTTGTGCTGCTCTCGGTCAGAGTTCTTGGGCTGATCGGTTGCAGCCAACAGATGTGTGCTGCTGCAGGGGATAAAGAAATGGCACTAAAAGGCATCACCATCCATCCTCTCTATTTCTCTAAAGAATTTAACAGGGTTTATATTGTTGTTGTTTTTTAATTATTGAAGCTAACTCTTGCAATGCTGATAGAAATTCTTCGTCAAAGAACAATAATTCCAATATGAATGTGCTGGGGAAATTTTTCATCTCTCTCCTAGGAATAAAATTAGAAATACAAAAAATAGATAAAACGTACTTTGAAAGGGTGGGGAAAAAAGGAGGGGGGATATAAAAACAGTCTTTATAGGATAAACTCTTAAAGGACATTTTCAAACATCCTTCTATAAGAGAGAAAGATATATGAAGGAATATGAACAAAAGAAGGTGAAAGAGAAAGAACTGAAATTTGAATATGCCTTCAGAATTATAACCAAATTTCACATTTTTATCTTGGAGACAAACCAAAATGTCAGGTTAACCTCAGTCAGGCCTGCGTTAAAATAAAATACGAAAGTGCTAGACTAGATCTGGTAATCAGAATACCATGCTTAAAACTCAGAGGGTAGCTAGGTAACAATGCTTCTTCAACTCTCGAAGACTCACTCTGGGGTTGGGAAACAGTATTTCTGGTAGTCTGATCAGTAATTCCACGACCAATCGGTGTTTAAAATTGTGGGGTGCCCGTAAAATAGAGAGGGCGTCTTAGTCACCTTTCAGTGTGACAGGAACAGGGTCTCACTATGAAGAAACTGGTGCTGCGACATTATTGCTGTAATGGAAGAGAGCCTGCATGTACGTAGGTGTACACAGATTTATATCGCATTTAGCCAGGATAAATTGCTTCAATAAATTGTGTTCCTGAGAGGCCAGCTCAAGCTGATGATTGGGTACTGGGAAAATGAGAGCTTTATTTTTCTTCACACAGCCTCAGGACAAGGGGATTTTTCTGGTTTATCTGTTTGTTTTAAATACATGATGATTTTTTAGCACTTTCTGGAACTACAACATAGTACAAAAAATAAATACAACTAAATAAAAGTAAATAAATGCAAAGACCAAGGGCATTATGACTGAAAATTTAGAGTATTTATGAAAAGCAATTTATCTCCGGAAAAAATCCTACAACTGCTGTGCTGGAGATAATTTCCCTTCCTAATCCCAGAAACTGCTTTCTGAATATAATCACAAAATGAGATTTTATTTCAACAAGGTTCTCTAACATATTTTCAGCCAAGAAGTAAAAAACTACAAGGAATAGAGGAGATACAAGGACCAGACAAGATTCCTTATTTTTATCTTAGTTTTGTTATTTGAGGCTAAGTTTTTTTTCAGTTTTCTACCTAGAGAAGGAAAAGGGTCCTGGCTGAGGAGTGAGGCAATATTGGTGTAGGAAGTAATGAAATAAATTCTGGAATGGTTTCCCCCAAATCACAAAATTCAAAAATTTACCTGGTTTTGCACAATCACATTATAATATATGCCTTCCAAATTTTATTTAATTGAATCTTTACTAGGAAATAGAGATGAAAAATCATAACTTTTTAAAGCAATTTAAAGGGGAGCAAAAACAAGTTGGGGGAGGGAAAGCATTAAAATGTAACAGAAGCATGCATTTTCATGACTTAAATATTCTAATCTGTCAGTCACTAACTAGGATTTCCGGCTTCCTTCCCTATTTGCTGGCTTTTGTTTGCCATTTTCACCAAAGGGAGATCACAATGGGAGGAAGGAGGCCCTCTTTCTTAAGTACCCACAATTATTCTTAAATCATTCTCTCAATCTCTTGCCCCTTTTCTTTTTCATCATTCTTGCTTTTCACTTTAAAATGATTTATCTTTTAAAAATATTAAATATTCAGCAACAATAATGATGTCTCACCACTTTAAGACATTTCTAGCTAACATTAAAAAAAATTTTTCCTGGCCCATGTAGATCAGTTCAATTCCCTGTCAAGGCACATGCCCAGGTTGCAGGTTCAGTATGGTCAACCGATCGATGTTTCTCTCTCAAATTTCTCTCACATCAATGTTTCTCTCTCTCCCTCTCTCTCTCAAATCAACAAAGACTTACTTTTTTGCCTTGGCTAGTGTGGCTCAGTTGGTTGGAACATCACCCTGTACACCAAAAGGTCAAGGGTTTGATTCCTAGTCAGAGCACATGCCTAGGCTGTAGGTTCCATTCCTAGTTGGGGCGTGAATAGGAGGCATCTGATTGATGTTTCTCTCTCTCTCTCTCCCCTTCCTTTCTCTACAAAATCAGTAAAAGCATGTCTTCAGGTGAGGATTAAAAATTAGTGATAAAACGAATAAATAAAAACAAAATTTTTAAATAACAAAACAAAAATAATTTCTCCTCCTTTCCCAGTCTGTTGCATCAATTGCTATATACAATGAATGACATTGCTTATTTCTACTTCATACTTTTAAAAAATCTCTAGTTATGAGGTCAAACTGATGCCCTCTCAAAAACAAAAAGCAACACATTTCTGTAGTATAAACCGACTGAGAGAAAAGGTGAATTCAATAATGATATTGCCATTCACTAGAATTTAACTCAGTTCATTTGTAACTGCACTGTTTGACAAGTAGGTCATGTGTCTGGCCAGGGCACTCACATCCATAGTATGCTTCTTGATCTTCAGGATGAAACTCAAGCATTTTATAGAACTAAGCAATAAATAGCAGATAAAGGAAATACATAGGGTGTCCCTCCCAAAAATGTATATACACTTTAACAGCTGACAGCTCAATTTTGAAAATGAAATATATTTTAATAAACACTGCCTTTATAATTATTCAAAGTGTGTGCATTCATTTTTGGGGGAACATCCTATATTTAGAGATATCTCCAAAGGGAAGTGGAGAACTTAGAACAGGGAAAAAAAGGATGCATAAAAAGGCTGTCCTAGAGGCCAAGTCTGCCAAGGAAAAGGCTCAAGTACTCAAGAATCAGAAGAATGCATAAATGATAAAAATTAGTATTTGCTCAAAAGATAGAAAGTTATCTGAATGCTGGGAGGGAACTGAAGAATTTCCAAGATTTAGAAAATGATTTTTAATAACTGGGGTAATTTCGTAAAATCTATGTTAAATAGTTTTGTCACAGCCAAAAGTATAACCTAAAATGGCCAATGTACAAATTAAAAAATTATCTCTCTATTGTGCATATGTGTATCTCTCTCTCTACCTTTATATTTTTAAAATAAAATAAATTAAATATGGAGCCCTAGCTGGTTTGGCTCAGTGGATACAGCATCCGCCTGAGGACTGAAGGGTCCCGGGTTCGATTCCAGTCAAGGGCATGTATCTGGGTTGCAGGCTCCTTCCCTGTGCAAGCCCTGCTCGGGCCCTGGTCAGGACTCGTACAGGAGGCAACCAATCGATGTGTTTCTCTCACATCAATATTTCTGTCTTTTCCTCTCTCTCCCATTCTCTCTAAAAATCAATGGGAAAATATCCTTGGGTGAGGATTAAAAAATAATAATAATAAAATGAATAAAAAATAAAATAAAAATGGAATCTGTCACTGAGGTCCAAAGAGTCAGTTCTCTGGACCTGGTTATAATGTGATTATTTCTTTAGTAACCAACTAATGTTAATAAGATGGCCCAACTTTCAGTAAGGAATAAAAGCCATATACAAACACACCCAAGGGTTTGTTCTTAGGTTCCTAATAACAAAAAGCAGCTGTTGCTAGGTACAAAAAATGAGAAGGGCACATGTACCATAAATATCAAAGATTCATGAAAATCTAGAAGGGGTTCAGACTAGCTATCACTCATTCATTCAGAAAACATTACTAAGGAACTACTAAGTGCAAGGGAAAGTGGACATAAAAATAAAAAGACAATAGACCTCTGCAAAAAAAAAATCACTCATCTATGTCAAAGAAAACCAGAGCTGGATAGTAACGTGGTAAAACAGATTTTATTCAGGATTATGGCAACAGGGGAAAAGACATCTCAGTATAAGAACTGGGCTCAATTCCAAATACAGCATGGGCAAGTGGGAATGCATAGCCAAGCACCAGGGCAAGGGGTCGATGGATAGAAAATTACTAAGAGGAGAAGGGAGATTCTGGCTAAATTGACCTAACAGGATTCTTGCTGAAGACAGGCCAGAGTGATCAGACATCAACTGGTGGATGGTGGAGGATGAAAAACCTGATCAGATATGAGGGTGATCAGATATCGGGGTGGAGGAAGCAGTTTT